TGATAATAACATAACCATGGACCTTACACACTGAAGATGGTTAATGTGATAATAACATAACCATGGCCCTTACCACACTGAAGATGGTTAATGTGATAATAACATAACCATGGACCTTACCACACTGAAGATGGTTAATGTGATAATAACATAACCATGGACCACACTGAAGATGGTTAATGTGATAATAACATAACCATGGACCACACTGAAGATGGTTAATGTGATAATAACATAACCATGGACCTTACCACACTGAAGATGGTTAATGTGATAATAACATAACCATGGACCTTACCACACTGAAGATGGTTAATGTGATAATAACATAACCATGGACCTTACCACACTGAAGATGGTTAATGTGATAATAACATAACCATGGACTGTACCACACTGAAGATGGTTAATGTGATAATAACATAACCATGGACCTTACCACACTGAAGATGGTTAATGTGATAATAACATAACCATGGACCTTACCACACTGAAGATGGTTAATGTGATAATAACATAACCATGGACCTTACTGAAGATGGTTAATGTGATAATAACATAACCATGGACCTTACTGAAGATGGTTAATGTGATAATAACATAACCATGGACCTTACCGCACTGAAGATGGTTAATGTGATAATAACATAACCATGGACCACACTGAAGATGGTTAATGTGATAATAACATAACCATGGACCTTACCACACTGAAGATGGTTAATGTGATAATAACATAACCATGGACTGTACCACACTGAAGATGGTTAATGTGATAATAACATAACCATGGACCTTACCACACTGAAGATGGTTAATGTGATAATAACATAACCATGGACCTGACCACACTGAAGATGGTTAATGTGATAATAACATAACCATGGACCTTACTGAAGATGGTTAATGTGATAATAACATAACCATGGACCTTACCACACTGAAGATGGTTAATGTGATAATAACATAACCATGGACCGTACCACACTGAAGATGGTTAATGTGATAATAACATAACCATGGACCTTACCACACTGAAGATGGTTAATGTGATAATAACATAACCATGGACCTTACTGAAGATGGTTAATGTGATAATAACATAACCATGGACCTTACCACACTGAAGATGGTTAATGTGATAATAACATAACCATGGACCGTACCACACTGAAGATGGTTAATGTGACAATAACATAACCATGGACCTTACCACACTGAAGATGGTTAATATGATAATAACATAACCATGGACCTTACTGAAGATGGTTAATGTGATAATAACATAACCATGGACCTTACACACTGAAGATGGTTAATGTGATAATAACATAACCATGGACCTTACTGAAGATGGTTAATGTGATAATAACATAACCATGGACCTTTCCACACTGAAGATGGTTAATGTGATAATAACATAACCATGGACCTTTCCACACTGAAGATGGTTAATGTGATAATAACATAACCATGGACCGTACCACACTGAAGAAGGTTAATGTGATAATAACATAACCATGGACCTTACCACACTGAAGATGGTTAATGTGATAATAACATAACCATGGACTGTACCACACTGAAGATGGTTAATGTGATAATAACATAACCATGGACCTTACCACACTGAAGATGGTTAATGTGATAATAACATAACCATGGACCTTACCACACTGAAGATGGTTAATGTGATAATAACATAACCATGGACCTTACCACACTGAAGATGGTTAATGTGATAATAACATAACCATGGACCTTACCACACTGAAGATGGTTAATGTGATAATAACATAACCATGGACCTTACCACACTGAAGATGGTTAATGTGATAATAACATAACCATGGACCTTACCACACTGAAGATGGTTAATGTGATAATAACATAACCATGGACCTTACCACACTGAAGATGGTTAATGTGATAATAACATAACCATGGACCTTACCACACTGAAGATGGTTAATGTGATAATAACATAACCATGGACCTTACCACACTGAAGATGGTTAATGTGATAATAACATAACCATGGACCTTACCACACTGAAGATGGTTAATGTGATAATAACATAACCATGGACCTTACCCACTGAAGATGGTTAATGTGATAATAACATAACCATGGACCTTACCACACTGAAGATGGTTAATGTGATAATAACATAACCATGGACCACACTGAAGATGGTTAATGTGATAATAACATAACCATGGACACACTGAAGATGGTTAATGTGATAATAACATAACCTGGACCACACTGAAGATGGTTAATGTGATAATAACATAACCATGGACCACACTGAAGATGGTTAATGTGATAATAACATAACCATGGACCTTACCACACTGAAGATGGTTAATGTGATAATAACATAACCATGGACCACACTGAAGATGGTTAAGCTGAGGTGCTGTGTTAAAGTGCTTTTTCTACCTACTTTTCCTTTGTGAGCAAGTTTTCTCTGTAATGAGCCTTAAAACTAAGCTAACAAACACATATTAATATAAATATTGTGAAATGCCATTAACAATGTAATATTCTAAATACATTATTTTCACTATGAAAAACTCACTGTTACATTTAAGTTTGTGACAGATTTACAGTTAAAACTGAGTGAGTTTTAAAGGACAGTGTTTTAAAGGAACTTTTATATAAATGTGTTTATGTGCACAAAAAGTTTGACTTTGTACCGTTTTTGGGTATTTTTGTAGAGCATCTTTTTGTCCGACCCACTTGAGATCAGATTAGGTTCTATTTGGCCCCTGGACCAAAATGAGTTTGACACCCCTGCTGTAGACCCAGGACTGAGGCTGTAGACCCAGGACTGAGGCTGTAGACCCAGGACTGAGGCTGACTGAGGCTGTAGACCCAGGACTGAGGCTGTAGACCCAGGACTGAGGCTGTAGACCCAGGACTGAGGCTGTAGACCCAGGACTGAGGCTGTAGACCCAGGACTGAGGCTGTAGGGAATACAGCTCAGATTAAACCTTAAGCTCTGATCCTCTTCAGGGTCAATGTCAATAAGCTGTGTCTGCTGCTAATGCTACATCGCTAATCTGCAGAGGAGGAGAGAGGCAGAGGAGGAGAGAGGCAGAGGAGGAGAGAGACAGAGGAGGAGAGAGGCAGAGGAGGAGAAAGGCAGAGGAGGAGAAAGGCAGAGGAGGAGAGAGGCAGAGGAGGAGAGAGGCAGAGGAGGAGGAGAGAGGCAGAGGAGGAGAGAGACAGAGGAGGAGAGAGGCAGAGGAGGAGAGAGGCAGAGGAGGAGAGAGGCAGAGGAGGAGAGAGGCAGAGGAGGAGAGAGGCAGAGGAGGAGAGAGGCAGAGGAGGAGAGAGGCAGAGGAGGAGAGAGGCAGAGGAGGAGAAAGGCAGAGGAGGAGAAAGGCAGAGGAGGAGAGAGGCAGAGGAGGAGAGAGGCAGAGGAGGAGGAGAGAGGCAGAGGAGGAGAGAGACAGAGGAGGAGCGAGACAGAGGAGGAGAGAGACAGAGGAGGAGAGAGGCAGAGGAGGAGAGAGGCAGAGGAGGAGAAAGGCAGAGGAGGAGAAAGGCAGAGGAGGAGAGAGGCAGAGGAGGAGAGAAGCAGAGGAGGAGGAGAGAGGCAGAGGAGGAGAGAGACAGAGGAGGAGCGAGACAGAGGAGGAGAGAGACAGAGGAGGAGAGAGGCAGAGGAGGAGAGAGGCAGAGGAGGAGGAGAGAGGCAGAGGAGGGGAGAGGCAGAGGAGGAGAGAGGCAGAGGAGGAGGAGAGAGGCAGAGGAGGGGAGAGGCAGAGGAGGAGAGAGGCAGAGGAGGAGGAGAGAGGCAGAGGCTGACCTCAGGACTGAGGCTGTAGACCCAGGACTGAGGAGGAGGAGAGAGACAGAGGAGGAGAGAGGCAGAGGAGGAGAGAGACAGAGGAGGAGAGAGGCAGAGGAGGAGGAGAGAGGCAGAGGAGGAGAGAGACAGAGGAGGAGAGAGGCAGAGGAGGAGGAGAGAGACAGAGGAGGAGAGAGACAGAGGAGGAGAGAGGCAGAGGAGGAGAGAGACAGAGGAGGAGAGAGGCAGAGGAGGAGAGAGGCAGAGGAGGAGAGAGACAGAGGAGGAGAGAGGCAGAGGAGGAGAGAGACAGAGGAGGAGAGAGGCAGAGGAGGAGAGAGACAGAGGAGGAGAGAGGCAGAGGAGGAGGAGAGAGGCAGAGGAGGAGAGAGACAGAGGAGGAGGAGAGAGGCAGAGGAGGAGAGAGACAGAGGAGGAGGAGAGGCAGAGGAGGAGAGGAGGAGAGAGACAGAGGAGAGAGGCAGAGGAGGAGAGAGGCAGAGGAGAGAGGCAGAGGAGGAGAGAGAGGAGGAGAGAGTTAGAGGAGGAGAGAGGCAGAGGAGGAGAGAGGCAGAGAAGGAGAAAGGCAGAGGAGAGAGGCAGAGGAGGAGAGAGGCAGAGGAGGAGAGAGGCAGAGGAGGAGGAGAGAGGCAAAGGAGAGAGGCAGAGGAGGAGGAGAGAGGCAGAGGAGGAGAGAGGCAGAGGAGGAGAGAGACAGAGGAGGAGGAGAGAGGCAGAGGAGAGAGGCAGAGGAGGAGAGAGGCAGAGGAGGAGAGAGGCAGAGGAGAGAGGCAGAGGAGGAGAGAGGCAGAGGAGGAGAGAGGCAGAGGAGAGAGGCAGAGGAGGAGGAGAGAGACAGAGGAGGAGAGAGGCAGAGGAGGAGAGAGACAGAGGAGGAGAGAGGCAGAGGAGGAGGAGAGAGGCAGAGGAGGAGAGAGACAGAGACAGAGGAGGAGGAGAGAGGCAGAGGAGGAGAGAGACAGAGGAGGAGGAGAGAGGCAGAGGAGGAGAGAGACAGAGACAGAGGAGGAGGAGAGAGGCAGAGGAGGAGAGAGACAGAGGAGGAGGAGAGAGGCAGAGGAGGAGGAGAGAGACAGAGGAGGTCCTGTCTTGGTCCAGACCTGGTCCAGCAGGATGTGAGAGGAAGTCCACGAGGCTTATGTCATTTTGAATCAATGTTTTCCTTCTGTGCAGCGGTCACATGACCTCTGTGGTCACATGACCTCTGTGGTCACATGACCTCTGCAGTAGATGGGCACAGTTCACCATCGACTTTTCCTATAGTTCTATTTAAACACGATATATGTCCCATAGACACAGCTGTAGGTATATATACTCATATATACTCTTTATACTCTGTATATACTCATATATACTCTGTATATACTCATACAGACTCTGCATCTGTGTATACGAATCATATTGGTATTGAGTTACTCTACTCTACTCTACTCTACTCTACTCTACTCTACTCTACTCTACTCTACTGAATACTGTGTTACAGCCGGACCATGTTGAATACTGTGTTACAGCCGGACCATGTTGAATACTGCGTTACAGCCGGACCATGTTGAATACTGCGTTACAGCCGGACCATGCTCAGGTCCTGAAAGAGACCGGGCTCAGTGCTCCTTGTAAATGGATAACAAGTAAAAGATGAACTATGTCTGTTTGTTGTGTGAGATATTGTCAGGTTCAACTGTGGTTAAATATCAGCATTAATAAGTTCACAATGCAGACACACACAAAGAAGGGCCCTTTGAGGACCAGTCTGACCCACATGGTCCCAGATCGAGTCTGGCTCTTTGAGGACCAGTCTGACCCACATGGTCCCAGATCGAGTCTGGCTCTTTGAGGACCAGTCTGACCCACATGGTCCCAGATCGAGTCTGGCTCTTTGAGGACCAGTCTGACCCACATGGTCCCAGATCGAGTCTGGCTCTTTGAGGACCAGTCTGACCCACATGGTCCCAGATCGAGTCTGGCTCTTTGAGGACCAGTCTAACTCACATGGTCCCAGATCGAGTCTGGCTCTTTGAGGACCAGTCTGACCCACATGGTCCCAGATCGAGTCTGGCTCTTTGAGGACCAGTCTGACCCACATGGTCCCAGATCGAGTCTGGCTCTTTGAGGACCAGTCTAACTCACATGGTCCCAGATCGAGTCTGGCTCTTTGAGGACCAGTCTGACCCACATGGTCCCAGATCGAGTCTGGCTCTTTGAGGACCAGTCTGACCCACATGGTCCCAGATCGAGTCTGGCTCTTTGAGGACCAGTCTAACCCACATGGTCCCAGATCGAGTCTGGCTCTTTGAGGACCAGTCTAACCCACATGGTCCCAGATCGAGTCTGGCTCTTTGAGGACCAGTCTGACCCACATGGTCCCAGATCGAGTCTGGCTCTTTGAGGACCAGTCTAACCCACATGGTCCCAGATCGAGTCTGGCTCTTTGAGGACCAGTCTAACCCACATAGTCCCAGATCGAGTCTGGCTCTTTGAGGACCAGTCTAACCCACATGGTCCCAGATCGAGTCTGGCTCTTTGAGGACCAGTCTAACCCACATGGTCCTGGGATCACCGGTTCCTGTGGTTGCGTGAAGTCTCTCTTGAAGGTCTCATAGAAAGTTGCAGCAGTGAGAGCAATACCCCCCATGGACTATACCCCCCATGGACTATACCCCCCATGGACTATACCCACATGGACTATACCCCCCATGGACTATACCCCCCATGGACTATACCCCCCATGGACTAAAGAGAAGAGAGAGACCAGAGAGACACCAGAGAGAGACCAGAGAGAGACCAGAGAGAGACCAGAGAGAGACCAGAGAGAGACACCAGAGAGAGAGAGACCAGAGAGAGACCAGAGAGAGACCAGAGAGAGACCAGAGAGAGACGAAGGGGAGACCAGAGAGAGACCAGAGAGAGACCAGAGAGAGACCAGAGAGAGAGACGAAGAGGGGACCAGAGAGAGACCAGAGAGAGACCAGAGAGAGACCAGAGAGAGACACCAGAGAGAGAGAGACCAGAGAGAGACACCAGAGAGAGACGAAGGGGAGACCAGAGAGAGACCAGAGAGAGAGACCAGAGAGAGACCAGAGAGAGAGACCAGAGAGAGACCAGAGAGAGACCAGAGAGAGACCAGAGAGAGACCAGAGAGAGAGACCAGAAATAGACACCAGAGAGAGACGAAGGGGAGACCAGAGAGAGACCATAGAGAGACCATAGAGAGAGACCAGAGAGAGACCAGAGAGAGACCAGAGAGAGACCAGAGAGAGACCAGAGAGAGACACCAGAGAGAGAGAGACCAGAGAGAGACACCAGAGAGAGACGAAGGGGAGACCAGAGAGAGACCAGAGAGACACCAGAGAGAGACCAGAGAGAGACCAGAGAGAGACCAGAGAGAGACCAGAGAGAGACACCAGAGAGACACCAGAGAGAGACACCAGAGAGAGAGACCAGAGACAGACACCAGAAAGAGAGACCAGAAAGAGAGACCAGAGAGAGACCACAGAAGATTCAGTATTTTTTACTGATGTTTATCAACATTCATGGTCTCTCCTTATGGTCCAATACCACTCTATGTGTCTCTGTGTCTCTGTCTCTGTGTGTGTCTCTGTCTCTCTCTGTGTGTCTCTGTCTCTCTCTGTGTGTCTCTGTCTCTCTCTGTGTGTCTCTGTGTGTCTCTCTGACAGTAGTGTCCCTGTAGAGACCAGTGATGGGAATAACGCCGTTACTTTTTTCAGTAACGAGTAATCTAACTAATTACTTTGACTGTAACTATAATTCTGTTATCATTAACATCCCGTTACTGCGCGTTACTCAAGACGCACAATGAACTTCTCTTTTTCCTTCATAGGACTCTGTCGTCATGAGAGAAGGATGAGAAAACCTCTCAGATATTATTGGCTGATGTAAAACATATTTCCTTTACAATCTACATGTCTACAGTTGAGAGGATGGTCATAAACTGTGTTTTTGAAACAAATATGGGTCTTAATCGCGCTCAACCACGGCTTGTATCAGCGTGAGGCCTCAGAGGAGCTCATGTGAGCGCAGAAGGCTGCATACAATTCCATCCAAAAGCTCCTTTCTCTTCCTGGTTTATCTGCTAAGGACAGCAACAGGTTTGGCTAACATACATATAATACATTTTTACATAATCTAAAATGCACATAGGGTAATTTTTCAATGACTATAGGAATGATAAGAAAGAGAGGTGAAGTGTAAGACGGTTGGTTTTAGAAATTGGATGCAGCCGGCTGCAGCAAAACAGAGGAGTTTATGTTTGTTTTACTTTTAAAACTCATTGGACTCATTTCCAAACGGAGGATTACATATCTACGCTCAAACTATTATCTGGACTTAAACACAGAACTGGTCTGAACCGAAGTGGACTGTGCAGGTCATTTATGTATGTTCATCTGATTGGGCTGAAGTCAGTGCTTCACAGTGGAGGTGTTTGTGTTTAGTGCTTACACAGAGACAGATGAAGAGTGAACAGGACTTCAGCAGCAAAACAGCCTTTTCTAGATGGAAATATCAGCACTATTTAAACTCACTGAGGTTAAAGGTTAAAGGTCAACATGTGCACCTCGAGTGCACATTATGTTCCAGAACAAAACGAAAAAGTAACGCGATAGTTACTTTTACTGGTAACTAGTTACTTTTATAGTGGAGTAACTCCGTTAGTAACTCAGTTACTTTTTGGGAGAAGTAACTAGTAACTATAACTAATTACTTTTTCAAAGAAACGTGCCCAACACTGGTAGAGACTGAGACATGTCAGAGGACAGAGCCGTGGAGCTGGGTTTAGGTGAGAGAGGCTCAGGCACTTCTCCACAGTGCTACGTACATGTAGCACCTGTTTCTGGACGTCTCCGTCCTCTTTTGCTCGTTACTTGTATCAAAGTCTTGTTCTCTTCTTTAATCTGTTTAATCTGTGTAATCTCAGATTGGCTCTGACATAATCCACTGTGTCCTGCTGCACCAAGAAAACACCAAGTCAAATCCTGTTTTAACATAACCACAGACTGTACACGGATGGACAATACTAACCCGCTAGCTCGATGCTAACCCACTGGCTCAATGAAGCCCTAGAGGGAAGTGCTCATGGCAGAGATGGGGGCTCGCGAGTAGGACTCAAGTACAAAAACTTGGGACTTGACTCAGACTTGTGGTCTTTTAACATTGCATGTCCAAAAGTGTGGCCTGCTGCCGCTTCACCTAAGTGTGTGCACTTTGTGGCCGTGCACGGTGAAGTCTGGTCTCTCTCTCTGGTCTCTCTCTCTGGTCTCTCTTTAGTCTCTCTCTTTAGTGTCTCTCTCGTGTCTCTCTTTAGTGTCTCTCTCTGGTCTCTCTCTCTGGTCTCTCTCTGGTCTCTCTCTGGTCTCTCTCTCTGGTCTCTCTCTGGTCTCTCTCTCTGGTCTCTTTCTGGTCTCTCTCTGGTCTCTCTCTGGTCTCTCTTTGGTCTCTCTCTCTGGTCTCTCTCTCTGGTCTCTCTCTCTGGTCTCTCTCTGGTCTCTCTCTCTGGTCTCTCTCTCTGGTCTCTCTCTGGTCTCTCTCTCTGGTCTCTCTCTGGTCTCTCTCTCTGGTCTCTCTCTGGTCTCTCTCTCTGGTCTCTCTCTCTGGTCTCTCTCTGGTCTCCCTCTCTGGTCTCTCTCTGGTCTCTCTCTCTGGTCTCTCTCTCTGGTCTCTCTCTCTGGCCTCTCTCTCGTCTCTCTCTGGTCTCTCTCTCTGGTCTCTCTCTCTGGCCTCTCTCTGGTCTCTCTCTCTGGTCTCTCTCTGGTCTCTCTCTGGTCTCTCTCTCTGGTCTCTCTCTCTGGTCTCTCTCTCTGGTCTCTCTCTGGTCTCTCTCTCTGGTCTCTCTCTGGTCTCTCTCTCTGGTCTCTCTCTCTGGTCTCTCTCTCTGGTCTCTCTCTCTGGTCTCCCTCTCTGGTCTCCCTCTCTGGTCTCTCTCTCTGGTCTCTCTCTCTGGTCTCTCTCTCTGGTCTCTCTCTCTGGTCTCTCTCTCTGGTCTCCCTCTCTGGTCTCTCTCTCTGGTCTCTCTCTCTGGTCTCTCTCTCTGGTCTCTCCCTCTGGTCTCTCTCTGGTCTCTCTCTCTGGTCTCTCTCTGGTCTCTCTCTCTGGTCTCTCTCTGGTCTCTCTCTCTGGTCTCTCTCTCTGGTCTCTCTCTGGTCTCCCTCTCTGGTCTCTCT